TTTTGGATATATGCCCAGTAATGGGATTGCTGGGTCAAATGGAATTTCTATTTCTAGATCCTTGAGGAATTGCCACACTGTCTTCCACCATGGTTGAACTAATTTACACTCCCACCAACAGTGCAAAAGTGTTCCTATTTCTCCACATCCTCTCCAGTATCTGTTTTCTCCAGAATTTTTTTTTTTTTTTGAGACGGAGTTTCCCTCTTGTTACCCAGGCTGGAGTGCAATGGCGCGATCTCGGCTCACCGCAACCTCCGCCTCCTGGGTTCAGGCGATTCTCCTGCCCCAGCCTCCTGAGTAGCTGGGATTACAGGCACGCGCCACCATGCCCAGCTAATGTTTTGTATTTTTAGTAGAGATGGGGTTTCACCATGTTGACCAGGATGGTCTCGATCTCTTGACCTCGTGATCCACCCGCCTCGGCTTCCCAAAGTGCTGGGATTACAGGCGTGAGCCACTGCACCCGGCTTCTCCAGATTTTTCAATGATCACTATTCCAACTGGCATGAGATGGTATCTCAATGTGGTTCTGATTTGCATTTATCCAATGACTACTGATGATGAGTATTTTTTTCATGTTTGTTGGCCTCATAAATGTCTTCTTTTGAAGAGTATCTGTTCATATCTTTCACCCACTACTTTTGAATGGTGTTTTTTCTTGTAAATCTGCTTTACTTCTTTGTAGATTCTGGATATCAGTCCTTTGTCAGATGGGTAGATTCCAAAAGTTTATTTCCCATTCTGTTGGTTGCTGGTTCACTCTAGTCATGAAATCCTTGCCTATGCCTATGTCCTAAATGGTATTGCCTAGGTTTTCTTCTAGGGTTTTAAGGTATTAGGTCTTATGTTTAAATCTTTAATCCATCTGGAGTTAATTTTAGTGTAAGGTGTAAGGAAGGGGTCCAGTTTTAGCTTTCTGCATATGGCTGGCCAGTTTTCCCAACAGCATTTATTAATCAGGGAATCCTTTCTCCATTGCTTGTTTTTGTCAGATTTGTCAAAGATCAGATGGTTGTAGATGTGTGGCATTGCTTCTGAGGCCTCTGTTCTGTTCCACTGGTCTGCATCTCTGTTTTGGGACCATGCAGTTTTGATTACTGTAGCCTTGTAGTATAGTTTGAAGTCAGGTAGCATGATGTCTCCAGCTTTGTTCTTTTTGCTTAGGATTGTCTTGGCTATGTGGGCTCTCTTTTGGTTCCATATGAAGTTTAAAGTGGTTTATTCCAGTTCTGTGAAGAAGGTCAAAGGTAGCTTGATGGGGATAGCACTGAATCTATAAACTACTTTGGGCGGTATGGCCATTTTCACAATATTGATTCTTCATAACCATAAGCATGGAATGTTTTTCCATCTATTTGTGTCGTCTCTTATTTCCTTGAGCAGTGGGCTGTAGTTCTCCTCGAAGAGGTCCTTTACATCCTTTGTTAGTTGTATTCCTAGGTTATTTTTTTTTTTTAAAGATGGGGTTTCACCATGTTGGTCAGGCTGGTCTTGAACTCCTGACCTAAGGTGATCCACCTGCCTTGGCCTCCAAAGTGCTTTGATTACAGGCATGAGCCACCATGCCCGGCCTCCTAGGTATTTAAAATTTTTTTTTTTTTATTAGAGACAGGGTCTGTGTCGCCCAGGCTGGAGTGCAGTGATGTGATCTCTGCTCACTGTAGGCTTGACCTCCTGGGCTCCAGTGATCCTCCAACCTTAGCCTCCCTGGTAGCTGAGATCACAGGCATGCATCACCACACTTGGGTAATTTTTTGTGTGTATTTTTTGTAGACACAGGGTTTTGCCATGTTACCCAGGCTGGTCTCAAACTCCTGGGCTCAAGCAATATGCCCACCTCAGCCTCCCAAAGTGCTAGGATTACAGGTGTGAGCCACCGTGCCCAGCTGATTCTAGTGTATCAATGTCAGGACACCTTGGCTGAGAAGCACAACTCCAGGAACATTACATTTGTCACTCTGTTGATTTGTTCCACAGTCACTGCTTATGTATTCAAGTGGGTCAACTATGTTTAGTAATATTATGAAATTTAGATTCTTACTTATCTGACATCACTGTTACCTATCTTTGCAGCTTACAGAGGCATCTGCTTTTAGATGTAATAAAATAAAAATTAGCTCAGGCCAAGAAAGTAAAAATATTCCCTGTCATTCAAGAGGATGGAACAGGCCGGGCGTGGTGGCTCACGCCTATAATCCCAGCATGTTGGGAGGCCGAGGCAGGTGGATCACGAGGTCAAGAGATTGAGACCATCCTGGTCAACAAGGTGAAACCTCGTCTCTACTAAAAATACAAAAATTAGCTGGGCATGATGGTGCGTGCCTGTAGTCCCAGCTACTCGGGAGGCTGAGGCAGGAGAATTGCTTGAACCCAAGAG